ACGACACATAATTTTGATTGGTTAATGAAAGACATGACCTGTTATGTCAAAGGAAGTTGTTCCAGGTCAAATCGTGCTGAAAAAACTCATGGTGGAAAATTGTTTTGCGTCGAGAGTTTGCGTACGATCGAAAACATACCAAAACGAAGATAATGATAAATGCTTTCATCCACTCGGTTAGCCTTGCTCAACTGGTTCGTAACCAGTCTTGTGATTGGTTGTTGACAAATGCTGAACAGGCCACGCCTCCAACGGTGTCGTGCGGTCGGACTAACCGTTAGGAATTCCTAAATGGAGCCAATTTGTGTAGTTTTCTTGATTTTTTCTACAGATATGGGTAAAATGTAGGTAAGGCTTTGGCGAAATTCGAAGGAGCAACTAATATTCTTCAACCTGGTATTTTTTTTAGATTTTATTTTTCATTTTTTTCGTCTATTTTTTCGAGTTTAAAAAATGTGAGCTGACTGGAGCCTTCATCCCTTGTCTATTTCTTACACTAGATACTAGCCGATAACCCCCCCCCCCCCGCTCATAGGGAGTGCGTACAGTTGATCATAGTTCCTGGGCTCCCTGTGGTATTAATTACAATAACTATTTTACTGCTGTGATGAAGGTTTACACTCTAGTGTTCTCTAGTTTTTAATTTTATTTTACAGCTAGATTACCAACATGATTTATATATAGATCAAATCATGCCAGTATAAAACAAAATACACTAACAAAAAACCTGGGTCATGCTATATTTATTTCAGTAAATCCGAGGTCACATTTTTTTTTATCTCTTGAGAGTTCCCCACTCCAGTGTTTGTGTTGGGGGAATAAAAGCCAAATAAAACTGATATATGTTAATATACTTTGTGTTTTTGAACAAACTGGATAATATTTGAGTATAATAATGCTGAAATTACACATCGTTGCATTTCGTTTCACCTTAATGAAATATTCGCTGTTATAAACGAGATAATATTTTACTTGGCACACTACAATATACTATGCTAAAAGTGTTTATGGTTGTTTATTTCAGGTTGTAATCCAAACATAAAACGTTAATCTGGACTTCAATTCTTAATGAATAGACAGTGCAAATATAAACCAAGTGCATAGGGTACCGTAAAACACTGAATGAGATGATCATTTGCATAATTGTACGTGTTGTGAATAATTAATGAGTATTCGCCTGTATAAGGAATGGCCCCATAGCGTGCAACACTTATACCCCAATTTTAAGAGGGTTTGCGATCATTTAAAATAGTATATAGTAACTCTGCCACAAAGATGATTATGGAAGTAAATATCCTGTTCATTCAACTTTAAACATCTTCATAATATCTCCACATAACATTCACATGTTATTATTATATTTTTAGTAGGAATAAATCTACCAATTGACAACATGTAATAGAACTATTTCCGATCTATTTTTGAGCAATAACACTGCAAATCTAGAAAACAATGAACAAATTCACTATAAAACAAATCGTTATAATACATTTAGGAAATTCACAACGTAGCTGAGCTAATATTGCAAAAATTAGAAATAGTCAAAAGAAATACTACACAGCCATATCTCTTTAATTATTATTATATACATGTTTATGATATGTCCTGCTCTACTTGCACTCATTCTATATTGTTAGCCGCGTTCCAATCAAATCAGCCACTCTTTCTTTCAGTGAATGTATATCCACGTCAACATCTACCATTTCTTTTGCTTCTCTTTCTCGGAATGGGCAAATGGTGTCTTCACCCAAATTTTCGAATGAAATGAGTTTTCCGTCAACTTCGAAACGTTTGCATTTCCTTCCCATTGCTTTGGCAACTGATAGTACCGTATAGGCGTTTATATGACCACGGTGTATAAATCTGGAAAGCTGAGTACATTTCTGAGACAGTAGTACCAACTCCTCGTCCAAATCGTAGGTTTCTGATAGGTCTTCGTAACTTTCTAATACAGATGTGTAATTTGTAACCAGCAGGCGAAGGCATTGTAACGTCATGGTAAAATACCTTAAAAAGGTCACACTCGCCAAGGGTATGTCAGGTTTTAAAATAGATTCCATGTCATCACTACGTGTTTCCCGAGTGAAAGTCAGCGATACACGCAACTGTGCATTTCTCTTTCGAACGGCTCTCCAGGTAGAATTCATTATGGCAGATTGTTTGAATTCACCTTCCCCAGTCTGGTAACTTACCAGTATATTAAGATTTTCCAGGGAATGTTTTCTACGCTCTGAAGCAAAACACATCAAAACGTTCACTTAAAAAACTCAGCTGAGTCGAAAACGAGTGCAAACAATGGAACGTTTGCACTGCTCGAATGATTTCCGATTCAGAAGGCGGGTTGAATATTCTGGCAGACCAATCTTTATTTGAAAAGTCGTAATATAGATTTAGACATGTCAGTGTATCATGAATCCGGTTGTTTTCCGCAAGAGACGATATTCCTGTATTGCCTTCTGCATCTTTAAATTCCCATGATTTTAAACGAAATGTTTTTAATGAATGTAATGACAAAATAAATTCCGTAATAGGACGTGTACAGTCCATTGCAATAGGGTTTTGCTGCAGGAACAGAGTGTTGATTCTTCGACAGTCATGAACCTCAATTGTTAGTTGGGAAATGTACCGACAACATGTTGCCAACTGTGCCAGTATACTATGCTCTTCCGTGGAGAAGTCGCTTTGAAGGTATAATACGTTCAAATGTAGCTGACGGAAAAACTGTCCTTTATAATAAATCAATTTCGCACGTTGTTCTGAGCACCCGAAAGGCATTGGCGCAGCGCCTACCACTACTTCGGCGGATGCCCAGAGCGAAGGGTGATTTAAAACGTCGGCCCATGACCTGCATACTAAGGCAGCATTCGATCGATCAGGTAGACTCAGGTATTTTAGAATTTCCACCAATATTACCTCTGGTAGTGTGCTGAATTCACCCATTTCTAACATACGTAGGTGACACCTCACATGCTTTAAAAATGGTCGTTGCAAGGGTGTCTGTCTACCTGCTGTATATTGTCCCCGTTTGTCGAAGGTATTAATTATTTAACGAGCAGCACAGGTCATTTCATGTATTGAGCGTTCAGTAAAACGTGACCTGCGCAACGAGGATTACAAAATGTCCGACAGTAATCGTGTATGGGCGTCACAATGACGTCATTGCAAGTAATATATAGAGTTATAAAGGTTGCTCTCTTCATATGAATCTGCACAGCGTTCCACATGAGTGACGACCATTAATTATAGTAAATCAGAAACCAGCAATTGGGTAACATAAATAACGAGCCCTTCACAGTTGTCTCAACACGAAGAGTTTCATATTCGTGAATATTAATATTGGAAAG